GCTTCGTCGAAAATCCCCCTGTAGGGGGACACGCCCGACTTAATACTACTCTCCTCTCCCCTGACTCTGTCCGGAGAGTGTCCCGTCCTCTCGCGTATTGCTTCTTACGCACAAGACTTGACGATTCGTTTTTTATTCCTATGTGTGTTTTTCAATCTGGTTGTTCCCGGTTCTTCCAAAATGGCGCTCCCGCTGCAGCGCCGCCCTCACTTCCGCGCTTCGGCTGTTCAAAGTCGTGCTCCTGCTGCAGCGCCGGCCTCATTCTCGCTGGTCTCCCTGGGCCCCCGGCGCTCTGGGGAGCCCAGGGAGACCTGGGAGGGAGCCCAGGGAACTCGAGAGGCAGCGTGTCGAAAGGAAGGGGGGGGGCTTCAAAAGTTACAATGCCCTCACAGGGCGGCACCTGACACTCGAAAACGCCCACATCGGGTAGACACGGTTGCGGAGGGCATGGAGCCCCGGCATTCCGGACAAGCACTGTCCTCTCGTAGGCGGGCCACTCACCCTCCAAGTCATCCGGTGCCATGCCAGGGCATGCAATGCGATGCTGTGTCGTGACCCGCTGTTCGATGCTATGCTTTGCGTTGCTATGCGTTGTGCTGCACTGCTTCACTACGCAATGCAACGCCATGCTATGACATGCTATGACCTGCCCCGTGCTCTTCTACGCCATGCTTCTTCATCCATCGCGTACCCTCCTGGGATCATTGCCCTGCTCGACATCCGGCTGTGCGAGTAAATAAGATATCTACACCATGGTAAGGGATGGGAGGGATGGATAGGGCGTCAGATGTGACGCTAGCGCACCTAGTTTGCCCCCCCCCTCCCACGTTCATCTACCCCCCTTCCCCTCCCCTCGTCCCTCGTCCCTCGTTCCTCGTTCCTCTCCTCCTCCTCCTCCTCCTCCTCCTCCTCCTCCTCCTCCTCCTCCTCCTCCTCCTCCTCCTCCCCCCTTCGTCATCCCTCTCCTCCTTCTCCTCCTGCACCCCTCCTCGTCCTCGCATTCCTCCTCCTCCTCCCTGCCCAGACCACCTCGCGCGCGGCGTCCCAGAGCCCAGACTTTCGAGGATGTCTCAGGCGAAACGGCCCAGAACACTTTTCGCACGGCATCTCGGGGCTCAGAATTTCGAGGACGTCTCAGGCGCAACGGCCCAGAACGCCTCTCGCGCGGCGTCCCGGAGCTGAGATTTCTGAGGATGTCTCAAGCGAAACGGCCTGGAACACGGGAGTTTTTGAGGATGTCTCTGCTTCAATATCCCCCGGCCAGAGTTAGCTTCTACCACAGCAGCATCTCGTTCAGCATTCTGTTTGGGGAAAAAATCACCGTCCCGATTTTTTTGAAGCTCCAGTATATATGTGGACCTCCTGGCGCCGCGACAGAACCCCACTGCGACGGCGAGGCGCTGCTCCTCCGACTTCGGCCACCCTAGAGGCCTCCCAGATGGGCTCGGAGCAGATGGGTTCGGAGGATCGGGCCGAATCGTCGATACATCATCGATGGATCGGCGATGCATCGGTGACGCCGGCGTGGAGAAAATCGGGCCCCGCCCGCATCGAAGCGCATCGCCGATGCGGAGCGATCCTTCGACCCCACCTGCTCCGACCCTATGTGCAGGGAGGAGGAGACGCACCACCACCACCACCGCCATCACCACCACCACCAGCACCACCTGGAAGATGGAGGCAGAGGGTGGTCAGGGCTCGTGGTGGTGCATGTCGCTTTGGGCGCTCTCGCGGGACATCGTGGACACCCGCACCCGAATCCCCCAAGGCTGATCAAGGTAGTGCGCTTCCTGCTCCGACCCCGTGGAGGGGGGAGCAGGAGGAGGAGGAGCAGGAGGAGGAGGAGGAGGAATAAGAGGAAGAGGAGGAGGATGAGGATGAGGAGGAGGAGCAGGTGGTGATGATGATGATGATGATGATGATGATGATGATGATGATGATGATGATGATGATGAGGAGGAGGAGGAGGAGGAGGAGGAGGAGGAGGAGCAGAGGAGGAGGAAGAAGAGGAGGAGCATGAGCAGGAGCAGGAGGATGATGAGGAGGAGCAGGAGGAGGATGTGGGAGGCCTAGAGCCGCCCACGGGGGCTCCTCTCTCCGGGCCAGTCCAAGATTGGTCACACGGGCGGCCCCGCGGAAGTGATTGCCCGCGGCGGAGGGCCAGACCCGCAGGGGAACGGGGGCCGCGAGCTCCAAAAGGATGGGGCGACCAAGACGACGAGGACGACGACGAGGACGAGGAGGAGGAGGAGGACGTGGAGGACGTGGAGGGGACGACGAGGACGAGGACGACGAGGACGGCGAGGACGACGACGACGGCGACGGCGACGACGACGACGACGACTGCCCTACCCAAACAAGGCGGCGCAAGGCCCTCGTCGCCTCTTCAACTGCTTTATCCGCGAAAGGCAGTGTTGGGGGTACAGCCAGGCTGCTTCCGCTGGAAGCGCCAAATGAGGATCCGAGGGCCCCCTCCTCCTCCTCCCTCTCTGCTGCTGCTGCTGCTCCTCCTCCACCTCCTCCTCTTCCTCCTCTTCCTCTCCTCCTGCTCCTCCTCCTCCTCCTCCTCCTCTCCTCCTCCTTCTACTCCTCCTCCTCCTCATCCTCCTCCTCATCCTCCTCCCTCTGCTTTTCCTCCTCCTCCTCCTCCTTCTCCTCCTCTTCCTCCTCCTCCTCCTCCTCGTCCTCCTCGTCCTGCCCCCTCCTGCCTCCTCCACGGGCCTCCCGTCTTCTCATGAGGCCTCCTGGGGCCTCCTGTGCTGGCCACTGGGCCACGTGAGGAACGGAGAAACGCCGAGTGAGGCACGAACGCCTCCTGGGCCCAGAGCGTCGGAGGTGCGGCCGAGCTGCTGCCAGAAAGACCGCTGAGTGAGGAGCGAAAACTGCGGGGCCGGAATCAAGACGACCGATGCCCGGGATCGGAAGGCGACCCGGCTGCATCGGTCCTGGCCAGGTCCACCGAAGGGCCAAGGATCGGTGCGCGTGCGTGCAATCTGCTCCCTCCGGGCCAATCCGGGGGGCGTGCACACTGGCTCTGGACGCATGGGTGGCCTGGCCAAGGTCGATGAACAATCAGGCTGCTGCCACAAGAACCGCCAAACGAAGCACGTGGCCCCAAGGGCACCCGGGTGCTCTGAGCCCATGCTTGGCCTGGCGACGGCCGATGAACTATGAGGCTGCTGCCATAAGAAGCGCGGAGCGAAGAGCGCAGCCCCTCTCTGGCCCCAAGGTCACTCGGGTAACCACAAGGGAGCGCTGGAGGAGAACAGCCGTGGAGGGACCGAACGAACAGCGAGCCCCTCTGGACTCCGAGCTGTTCCTTGTTCCAGCGTCTTGGCTGTGTGGCTTTCCTCCACCCCTCGGCCCGCCCCCGAGTCGAGTGGTGGCCGCAACGAACGACAGGATGAGCCTGGACGACGTGCCCTCTACGGCCGCGCGTCGGACGAACGACAGACCCCAAACGACGCACTAATCCCCTTGGAGCCGACGACTGCCCCCCCCTCCCCCCCACCCCAACCCCCATGCTCCTACAGCAGGTGTTCGCAATACGAGATTTCAGCAGGTTCAAGAGATGTGAGATCAGCTTGATCGTCCCTCTTCCTAGTTTCTGAGGTGCTTCGGGACTTCTGTGGGCCCCCTGGGCCTTTCTAAGAACAAGGAATCTCCGGGAGATTCCTGTCTGTTTTGTTCCGCGCAGACACAGAGACCCCTCCAGGGCTTGCAGTCTATCAAAGCCGCGCCGCTCGGAGACTAAAATGTCTGCCCTGACTGGGACAGGGGCCTCTGATCGAGGAGCGCGCCTTTGCACCTGCGATGCCAACGCAGTGCCTCTGCTCCCTCCCTCCCTCCCGAGACCTCCTTGGACCTCCAGCGTCCCGAACCGAGGACGGCGCGATGTTGCATGTCATGTCAGGCCTCTGGGGGCTGCTTTCGGGCTCCGAGGCCATCAACAAGCTGTCCAGGTCGGAGAGACGAAACAGCCCCCTGGGAAGGGGCCGAGATCCCTGGGGACCACACACACCAAAAAGCTGCGGCGGAGGCCTGGCCCTCTCCCTCCCCTCAGGTCCGGCATGTCCTCCTACAGGCGGATTTGACGAAAAATAAGACATACCGCCGTTTGCGAAATAAACGCCCATCTTAGGGATCGAAAATCAGACGACGAAGCACGCCCCCTTTCCCCTTTAGCGCGGGGCGGGGCTCTCGGTACTTCCACACGTGGGCGTTTATTTCGCAAACGGCGGTAGCCCAAACATATTAAACAACTACGCAAAAATAGTCAGGAGATCGTCCCCACACGGTTTGTAGGCAAGTTCTGGATACTCCTCCTGTAGGGGGACATGCCCGACTGAACCCTCTCCCCCTCATGCCTCCCTCGGAGCCCGCGCTTGTTTTCGCGAGTGGGATGCGTCGACTCGGGCGGCAACCAACACAATCAGCCTCGCGGCGAGGCACGCCGTGCCACTGGCATGGTCCCTTGCTCGCGCCTGGCAGGCGCGCACCCCGCGCCGCGACGCTTCGGCAACACGCTGAGCTCTCGGGGGAAACATGGAAGTACCGATACCGCTACTCGGGAGCGGCCAAGAGGGGGGTGTCCAAGAGGGGGGGGTGCAAATCATGACCGGCGGCATGTGCGCGGCCCAGCGGGAGGGCCAGGGACGTAATGAAATAAGAAGGGGCCCCATGAAATCTGGGGAAATATCATGGCCCACGCCATGATATCCACCCCCCCTAGTCATCACCCCCCTCTTTTCCGCCCCCGAGCTACTCCCAAGGCCTTTCCCTGGGAGCGTTCTGACCAGAGTTTCGGGGCGAATGCAGCCTTGACGACGAGGGCCTCCCCAAAGGCCCCACAACGGCGAACACCGAGGAAATGTAGCAGTGCCGGTACCTTCTCCCCCTCTGGGCTTCAGCATCACGCTGAGCTCTCAGGCCGCACTCGACCTCTGCTCGCCTGCGCCGCAAGCCATCACCGCAGGGCGGCCCTCACAAATACGGATTGCCGGAATCGAACGTGCTGCCAGCCGGCGAGGTGCCCTCCTCCACGGCACCAGCGTGCACGAGCAGAGGGAGGAGGTCGCCGCTCCAGTGCTTCCGCTGGGATAGAAGAAGAAAAACTGCGCAATGCGACCAGACGATGACACAACGAACCGTGCAGGGACCATTCAAACATACATATACTTCTGGTCTCGGCCTGGCGGCCTCGACGGCGAGCGACGACGACGACGGCGGCGACGACGACGACTGACCAGGAATATCCCCACAATCGTTCACTTCCCAGCGAGGCGCTGCGACACCCCCTGGCATTTCTTGAGCGACTGGTCGCACTGAGCCCAAGCTTTCGGAGGCCCGCGCGGGTTTCCTGGACCGGTGCTGGGCCCCTCCCACGGCTCGCGGAGCGTGCCGGGAGGTGGCGCAGGAGGCGCTGCCGGGGGGGCCCAGTGCCGACACAGGAAATCCGATGGGGACCTCCAAGAGTTTGTGTGTGCATGCCGCTTTTGCTCTTCGAGCTGGGTCTCGTTGAAGCCGCCGATGCACACCCCCGAAATGTACACGCGGGGCACGGAGCCTGGCGGCACCAAAAGACACCGTCACCGCCGCTCCCCCGACCTCGCCCGGTGCGTCGTGGCCAGATACCCGAACCCCGGTCGTGGCGACGAGGGCCTCCCCAGAGGCCCACAGGGACGGAGCAGGAGGAGGGGCAGCGACACCGGCACCTTTTCTGCCTCCTCGGAGAGCCAGCTCCAGTTGCCGACCGCACGTGCTCCTGCAGCTTCGCCGCCGCACCGGGCTCGAGGCCGTCCAGGAGCACCTCCTCGAAGCTGGCGCCCAGCTCCTCGAGCAGCTGCTGGTCCGGAGGAGGTCCGGTGTCTCGAGGCCACGGCGGCCCCTCCTCGGCGGTCTTGTGCGCCCTCGTGGCGCCTCCCGGAGGCGCCTCGTCGCCACGGCTGCGCCCTCGATTTTTCGGCCTCTGGGGACCGCCACCGGGCCCCGGGGCCATCGAAAATGCATCACGAGAGGATGCTCCCAAGGACGGTATCGGGAGCTCTGGGGGCTGAGGTTGAGAAAGCCATATCGGAGAATGTTTGGGGGCGGGTCAGGGTTTGGCGGCCCGCACACAGGGGGGAGGGGGGAATGCTTCCTAGAAGGAGGCTGCTTCTGAGAAGCCTTCCCCCCTACCCCTACCCCCTTCTGCGCGTGGCCGAAGGATCGACTCCAGGCAGGGTCCAGGGACTGCGTTTGAGCGAACTTGTGGGCCATGCGGGAGGGCGCCGCCGCTGTCTCAGCCAACGCCCCCCTCCGAGCTTGGCCCGCCGGCAGAAGCGGCAGTTCGCCTTGGTCAGCAGAAAGACGGGGTGCCTTGATGGGCCGATTTTCCGCCACCACTGCCATAGATATGAGAGGGAGGAGGAGGAGGAGGAGGAGGAGGAGGAGGAGGAGGAGGAGGAGGAGGAGGAGGAGGAGGAGGAGGAGGAGGAGGAGGAGGAGGAGGACGAGGAGGAGGAGGAGGACGAGAGGAGGAGGAAGAGGGGAGGAGGAGGCGGAGGCGGAGGAGGCGGAGGAGGAGGAGGCGGAGGAGGAGCAGGAGGAGCGGAAGAGGAGAAGGAGGAGCAGGAGGAGAGGAAGAGGAAGAAGAGGAGGAGGAAACTGATGATGATTATGATTATGATGATTCTGATTCTGATTATGCTGATGCTGATGATGACGGTGATGATGATGATGATGATGTTGAGGAGAAGGAAGAGGAGCAGGAGGAGGAGGACAAGGAGGAGGAGGACAAGGAGGAGGAGGAAGAGGAAGAGGAGGAGGAGGAAGAGGAGGAGGAGGAAGTGGAGTAGGAGGAGGAGGCGGATGAGGAGGCGGAGGAGGAGGAGTAGGAGGAGGCGGACGAGGAGGAAGAGGAGCAGGAGGAGAGGAAGAGGAGGAGGAGCAGGAGGAGAGGAAGAGGAGGAAGAGGAGAATGAGGATAATGATGATGATTATGAGTATGAGTATGAGTATGATTATGATTCTGATTATGATGATGATGCTGCTGCTGATGATGATGATGTTGTTGTGGAGCGACCTAAAGTCAGAGAAAACGATTGAAAGACCCCCCCCATCAGAATCAGAGGACGCCTCATCCTCATCCTCCTGGCGGGGCCTACCCGCGGCCTGCCCGAGCTCCCTGACGTCTTGCAGGTCCTCTTCGGACAGGCCGAACGCACTGAGGACCTCCTGCCTGGAGGCGAAGCCAGTCCTCGCGCGGGCAGAGGGCCTCCCTGCGGGCGCGGCAGCCGAGGGAGCACAACGGACAGACAGCAAATCTCGCTCCGCCTGAGAGAGGCAGCGAACCGACGAGAGGGTCAGGAACTTCGACGAAGCTCGACGATGAGGGTGCTTCCCTTCCCGAATTCTCTTCAGCTGATGTTTCACTTGTGGGGACCTCGGCCTGTGCAAGCAACTGTCCAACAGAAGCACACCTGGGCGGAGGTCCTCACAATATGCACCGCACTTGACGCAAAACACCAGCGGCATTCCTGACTTCTGAGGCGAGTCGATCTCGCATCTCATCAGGGCATGCCCGTTCAGGTAAAAGGCACAGGTGGCGACCTCTTCCCAATCGAGCCCGTCCGACCCCCCAATGTCCAACCCCTCCCCGCCCACAGACTCATCAATCTCAGGCTCAGGCTGAGGCGGCAACTCGTAAGAGTCAGGTGCACACTTTTCCGATGCTTCAAAGCCGGCAGTGTCCAGACGCTTTTCCGCCTGACCTTGCAGGTGCACCTCTAAATGTGCAGCCCACTTGGCAGACTCTTTCACAAGACACTTGAGACCTCTGTTCAAGTCAGCGTCCTGCTGGCAAAGTTGGTGCTTGGCAGCACCCATCTTCGCATAAGAGTCTACCGAATCGTTGGTTCGCTTTTCCCACAGGGTCGTCTTGCCACTGTGGACATCCGACATCGAGCAGTGAGCTGCCGTCTTAAACGCCGTGAAATCCCCTGGAGAGAAACTGGACCAGAAGGGGGCCCACAGGTGGGCCCTGCGCCCACCGGCCGAGGCCCCAGCCCCTTGGCCACCCCAGAGGACATCCAGAGTTCCCTGGCAGTCACAATATAAATCAAACGGTGCCATCGCACACAGATTCAGCATGTAAACAGCATAGTCTTCCCCATCCTTGGCCGTTTGGCGAGGCCCATGGGAGAAGGGGACGGGTCCGTAACAGGCCGAGATGACATTGCCCAGGGGATCGGCCTGGACTAAGGCCCAACCAGCCCTCGAAAGCCCAGGAATCCCTGGCCAAGAAGCGGACCCATCCGAAAAAATTAAACCACTGAGGCGGCCTGTCTCAGGCCTATTAATCCAAAACACAGTCTGTTCAGGCTCCTGGGCAGGGAAGAGCGCCAACGGCGACGGAAAGATCGCACGCGCGAATCTCTCAGCAAGCTCCTCCCCTCCCTCGAGCACACGGGCCGCCCGTCTGGCTAGCTGCGGCGAGACCATGTCCCTCCTGAGCACAGCGTGGGCCGAGCAACGAAATTGTCTGTGAAAAAGGGTCCCCGCTTCCTCCTGACACAGCCTACACTTGCCGCAACTGTGATACCCATGCCTGTGCACTCTGGCTTGAGGCCAGTGCACATTACTCATGAGGCTCCTGAGGGCCCTCTGATGCTGGGGCTTCCAAGAGGAGGAGGAGGAGCGAAGGAGAGGCCTCACAGCATCCCAGAAAAGAGGGTACCCTTGGAGCTCATCTCCTACCTGCATCAACGCCTGCCTGTCCGACGCTCTGACGGCCGCCACACGGACCTGCAACCGAAACTCTACAGGCGCGATCTGAGAGAGGTTCCAGACCTGCCCGAGGTCTGATTCGACCGTTCGAAAGTCTCGAAAACACGAGCAAGACTGAGCACTGCCACATCCGCAGGTGTCGCAGCTCCCTGCCATGGGTTCCTTTTCGAATTGGCTCGAGCTATGGCCGCGTCGGCCGACGCATTCAAAATCGAAACCTTGGGAAAGCTATCCCAGACCGCAGTGGCCCATTGAAAGGCCACATGGCCAACATAGGCCACAAACGGGTCAACGATTTCTCCCAGACGGAAAGAGTGCAGCCTAATTCCCAGGGAAGCCCCTTTGGGATGACGTCCTAGAGCGTGAGCCGGACCTCCCCATCCTCTCTTCTCCCCCATCCTACCTAATTATGGTAGCGGTGGTGGAAGATCGGCCCATCATGCCTGGCCCTCAACTCCTCCAGCAGCCGCCCTGGGTCCAACGTGCCCCGGAACGTCTCCAGCGGGTCGGCGGCAGCCCCCGCGGCCGCCGACAGCTGGCCGGGTGTTGCTTGAAACGGTCCTGGCCCAAGGCGTGCCCAGCTTTTCTCGCCATTCTGGAGCTCCTGGGGCCCTCTGTGCCTCGTGATGGGGTGCGCTGGGCCTCCCTGGGGCTCCTGGGGGCAGCTGGGGCCAAGACACCCTTCGCAACACCCGAACTGAGCGACGAAAAGAAGCAGATCTTACGCCAGATGGCACGGCGACCTTACGCCGCGGCCCGTTGCGCGGACCGCAGCGCGGCACGCTGCACTGGAAGCGACGGCGCTTACGCGCAACCTTGCGCGGGCAACTTTCGCGCGAATGTCGGCGCAGTCGACCTGGTTTCCCAGACCCCCGACGTCATGATTTGTCCATAACGTCGACCCCCAAAAGTCTCGACGCATTCCCCAGGACCGGCTTTCCATCCCGAGTCGGTTTTTGACGGCTCCGAGGCCCGGCGAGGGCCCCCCAAGGCCGAAGATAGCGCAACGCCCTTCGCCGTGACTCTGCTCGCGACGCGAGGGGGCCTGGGCTCCTTGCGTCGCTCCACTGGCGCCGCAGGCGGGCGCTGGCGGCGCCCTCGACGACGCGCAGAGCGCCGGGCCGGCGCCCTCGCCACGGCGCCTGCGCGGGCCGCAGGGGCCCTCGGCCGCTCCTCGCCAGCCTCGGCGCCGCCGCCGCCGCGGCAGGCGCCCGGGCCCCGATGGCGCGCGCCGCCGCGCGCCCCGCGAGGGCGGCGGGGCTGCCCATCGGCCGGCCGGCCGGGCGCGGGGCCGGCAGGAGCGCGCCCGCGGGTGGGCCCGTGGCGCGCTCCTCGCGGTAAGCCTCGAGAGCTGCGCCGAGGCCCCTCGCGCGGCGCCTCGCGGCCGCGAGGAGCCGCGCGGCCCGGCGCCACCGCGGCCCGAGGCCGATCCTGGCCGCCCTCCCGCCGATCCGCACCGAACTGCATCTGTCCCTCTCCTCCCCATGGCCCGTTCCGATCCCCCGCGCACCGTCCTCCTCCTCCTCCTCCTCCTCCTCCTCCTCCTCCTCATCTGCATCCTCAGCCTCAACCTCATCCTCATCCTCGTCCTCATCCTCGTCCTCATCCTCATCCTCGTCCTCGTCCTCGTCATGCTCATCATCATTGTAGTATCATTCATATTCATCTTCATGTTCATCCTCATCCTCATCCTCATCCTCATCCTCATCCTCCTACTCCTACTCCTCCTCATCCTCCTCCTCATCATCATCACCATCACCATCATCATCACTATCACCATCACCATCATCATCACCATCGTCACCACCATCATCAACATCATCATGATCACCAACACCATCACCATCACCATCATAATCATCATCATCATCATTATCAGCATCACCTTCATCATTATCTTCTTCATCTTCATCATCATCATAATCATCATCATCTTCATCATTGTGGTCATCATCATCATCACCACCATCACCACCACAATCGTCGTCCTTACCATCATAATCATCACCATCATCATCATCATCATCATCATTATCAACAACATCGCCGTCATCATGATCGTCATGGTCATTATGATCACCATGAGCATGGCCATAATCATCATGATCCTAATCTTGGTGATGATGATCATCATCACCATCATCACCATCATCATCATCATCATCATCCTCACGATCACCATTATCAGCATCGTCATCATCATCAATATCAGCATCGTCGTCATCATCATCGTCGCCATCATTAGCATCCCTAGCATCGGCGTCGTCATCATCATCGTCAACAGCAGTGTCACTATGGCCACCATCGTCACCATCACCATCACCATCACCATCACCAGCACTATCATCATCACCATCATCATCGTCTTTATCATCATCAGCAGCATCATGGTCAGCATCATCATCATCACCACCATCATCATCATCATCATCATCATGATCATCATCATAACAATCATCATCATTATCGTCATCGCCATCGACGTCATCATCACCTTCATCACCAGCAGTATCATCACCATCATCATCATCATCATGATCTTCATTGTTATCATCATCATCATCATCATCATCATCATCATCATCCGCATCACCATAATCACCATCACCATCACCAAACATTACCATCACCACTATTACCACCATCAGCATCATCACAACCATCGTAGCCACATTCATCATCATCATCCTCATCATCATCGTCATCATCATCATCACCGCCATCATCACCATCATCATCGTTACCATCATCATCATCTTCATCATCATCAACATCATAGTCATCATCACCGTCATCGTCGTCATAACCATCATCACCACCGTCATCATCATAATCCTCATCACCTCCATCATCACGTTCACCATCATCGTTATCATCTTCGTCGTCATCATCGTCATTAGATGTACCAGCACCATGATCGCTATCATCATATTCACATTCACCAGCATCGTCATTGTCATCTTTTTCATCATCATCATCATCATCATCATCATAATCAGCATCGGCATCAGCATCATCATCATCATCAACATCATCATCATCATCATCATCATCATCAGCGTCATCGTCATGATCATTGTGGTCATCATCACCCGCAACGTCGTCATCATTCTCCTATCTGGATTTTCTATACGCGGTTAGGGGGGTTTTATGCAGAAGCTCTGGGGGGGTCTTTTTCACGAGGGGGGGGAGGAAAACCACCCTCGCCTCCGCATCTCCCGATCCCATCCCGCTTGGAGACCCCGCTCATAGGTATAGCACAGCTGCCACGAAGGCACTGCTGTCCCAGGCAGGGCGCAAGCACGGCACAAGACAGGGTCAAGCGGAGGGTGGGGGAGGGCCAGACATTGCTAAACTTTTGGAAACAGCCAGGCCCTCGATCCTCTATCCTCCAGCTCTTCATCCTCCTCCTCCTCCTCCTCCTCCTCCTCCTCCTCCTCCTCCCCCCTCCACAATTACACAACATGAATACTACTGTCCTTTCTCCCCTGGTTACGTCCGGGAAAAATTCGCCCCCCCTCCGCGCACTGGATTTTAACACACATGATTCCCGGGACACAGGTTTTCGTTTTTTCGTGTTCTTTTTCAAAATGCTGCTCTCGCTGAAGCGCTGGCCTCATTTCCACGCTTCCGCTCGTTCCGAATCGTGCTCCCGCTGCAGCGCTGGCGTCATCATTTCCAGCGCCATGCCACGGCATCGTTTTCGGTCCTGCCAAGTAGGCCCCAAAATCTAGAAAATGGCGCCCCGAAGCGACCATCGGAAGTGATTCCACATCTGGTGTCGTTTCGTTGATTTTTTTGGCCGCAGAAGCCCCTCCCCCATTTTGGGGCGTCGCCACGCCATGCTATGCCCGGCTACGCGTTTATCTTCAACACCATGCTGTGCCATGTAATGCTATGTCCTGCTACGACATCCGACTGTGCGAACAGAGAGGGGATCTACGCCATGGTTAGGCATGGGAGGGAGGAGTAGGACGTCAGATATGACGCGAGCGCACCTAGCCTGTCGTCCCTGCTCCTTGACATCCGCCGACTGATCTGTTTTTTTTCCAACCCGCCGCCCCAGAAGTCCCGACCGCTTCTCGGAAATACTTCTCCGTCCTGGATTCGTCTCCGATGGCCCCGAGGCCCGACATGGGCTCCGAGGGCCGAAGTCTCGAAAAATGTTGGGATTGAGAACACAAAAGTCGTCGGCGATCTGGGTCCATCGCCTCCCTCCTCCCACCAAATCGCTCCCTCCAGGGCTAGGCGCCCCCGTGCTTCCCTCCCTATTTTTTGTGCTCTTCCTCTCTTATCCAGAGCTTAGAGCCACCCGTACTCTGCACAGGGAGCCCCCTCATGCCTGCGTTGCATCATCAACCACATCGCTCCCCCTCCCTGGCGGCCGCGTCCTGTGCACGCAGGGGTGCCCCCGCAGTCTGTCCCACTGCGCGTCCCGGATCAGGCCCGCGGCGTCCTCCTTGGCGGCGACGTCGCACCTCCTGCTGAGGACCTCCTCCTCGGGAGGTGCCCGAACGACCCCCCCCCCCGCCCCTCGCCCTTCTCCTCCAGCTCCTAATGCACTCTTCCTCCTCCTCCTCCTCATCATCCTCATGCTCTTGCTCTCCTCCTCCTCCTCGTCCTCCGTCCTCCGTCCTCCTCCTCCTGCTCCATATCCTCCTCCTCCTCCTCCTCCTCCTCGTCCTCCTCCTACTGCTCCTCCTCAGCATCAGCATCAGCATTAGCATCACCACCAGCATCAGCATCATCAGCATCATCATCATCATCATCGCCATCACCATCAGTATCATCATGATCATCGTCATCCTCACAACCATCGACATCACCATCATCAACGGTAGCATCAACATGATCAGCATCCTCCTCATCAGCATTACCATAATCATCACCACCACCATCATCATAATGATACACATCATCATCACCATCATCATCACCATCAACATCATCAGCACCACCAACATGATCATCACCATCATCATCAGCAGCATGAGCAATCAGCATCGTCATCGTTATCACCTCCATTACCATATTAGCATCATCAGCACCATCAGCATCACCACCACGATCACCATCACTATCACCATGACCAGCATCATCAGCAGCATCATCATCATCATAATCATCACCACCACCATCATCATAACCACCAACATCATCATTATCACCACCATCATCGTCATCGTCATCGTCATCGTCATCACCATCTTCATCACCATTATCGTCATCAGCATCGTCACCATCACCATCATCACCATCATCATCAACATCATCAGCACCACCAACATGATCATCACCATTATAATCATCATCATCAGCATGAGCAATCAGCATCGTTATCGTCATCACCTCCATTACCATAGTAGCATCATCAGCACCATCAGCATCACCATCACGATCACCTTCACTATCACCATGACCATCATCATCAGCAGCAGCATCATCATAATCATCACCACCACCATCAGCATCACCACCAACATCATCATTATCACCACCATCATCGTCATCGTCATCGTCATCATCATCTCCATCACCATCATCATTATCGTCATCAGCATCGTCACCATCACCATCATCACCATTATCATCATCATCATCAGCATCATCAGCATCATCATTGTCAGACCGTCACCGTGATCGGCCTCATGATCGTTATCATCATAATCATCATCATCATCATCATCAATTTCATCCTCCATCTCCACCTCCTCCTCCTCCTCCTCCTCCTCTCCATCGCCTTCAATTCCACCATCCTCATAATCATCATCCGCATCCGCCTCATCCTCATCCTCAACATCGCATCCCGGCCCATTGTCATGATCGCCACTACCATACTCATCGTTTCACCACCACCAGCAGCACCACCATACTCATAATCATAATCATCATCATATCCGTCCTCACTATCTTGATCATCATCATCATCATCACCATCATCATCATCATCATCATCATCATCATCATTATCGTCGTCGTCGTCGTCGTCGTCGTCATCATCACCAACACCACCAACGCCCTTGCGCGTGTGCCGTCGCGAGAATCCTCTGCAAACAACGGGACGAAGTGCAGACGCGCGCGTCGTCGCGCGCGTATGCCGAAACCCTTCAAAACCCATCGGTTTCGGAAGGATTTCAAAATCGTGTGTCCAAGAAACATACACACTCACATGGTTCCGCAACACGGATTTTCAACAAAAGCGTGCGCGCGCGCTCTTGCGACGTCGTCTTCGTCGTCGTCGTCGTCGTCGTCGCCGTCCTCCCTCCTCCCGCGGCGTCGTCGTCGTCGTCGCCTACGTCGTCCTCTGTCTTTCCTCGTGTTCGTCGTCGTCGTCCTCTTTGGCGTCGTGGTCGTTCCCATCGTCGTTGTCGCCGTGGTCGTCCTTCCTCCTCCTCCGTCGTCGTCGTCGTCGTCGTCCGTCGTCGGCGTCTCGTCGTCGTCCCTCCTATTTCGTCGCCGTCGTCGTCGTCGCCGTCGTTGTCGTCGTCGTCTTCCCTCCTCCCTCGTCGTTGTCGTCGTCGGCGTCGCCGTCCTTCTTCCTTCGTCGTCGTTCGCGTCGTCGCCGTCCTCCCTCCTCCCTCGCCGTTGTCGAAGTTGTCGTCGTTGTCGCCGTCGTCGTCCTCCCTCCTCCCTCGTCGTCGTCTTCGTTGGCGACGTCGTCGTCGTCTTTCGTCGTCGTCGGCGTCGTCGTCGTCTTCGTCGTCGTCGTCGTCGGCGTCGTCGTCGTCGCCGCCGTCGTCGTCGTCGTCGTCGGCGTCGTTGACGTCGTCGTCGTCGTCGTCGGTGTCGTCGTTGCCGTCGTCGTCGGCGTCGTCATCGTCGTCGTCGTTGTCATCGTCGTCGACGTCGTCGGCGTCGGCGTCGTCGTCGTCGTCGGTGTCGTCATCGTCGTCGTTGTCGGCGTTGAAGCCGTTGGAGACGTCGTCGGTGTCGTCGCCCAGCTGGGATGTGCCCAGCACTCAGCACCACCGCGGCCGCGTCGGTCGCGCCAAACTAGCTGGCCGCTGCGCGCGCGCTAGGGTTGGCGCGGCCGCAGAGATGGGCTAGCTAACTCCAAACACTCATCGCAATCGTCACCACATGGGTTTTGCAAGCCAAATTGCGGGTGGGTGGATGGGATGTTTGCAAGAGCGTGGGATGTGTCAACTCGTCTGTTAAAATCAATTGCACCACATATATTGCACCGCATAGAGTTCACAACAAAAGTTGCACAGCATAGATTATGCAACATAGATTGCACCACATAGATTGTACAACATACATGGCACGGCATATATTCTACAACATAGATTGCACCATGCATAAACAATGGAAACTTGTATATATATATGTTGTACCACATAGATTTCACACAATGTAAGCACATTGCACCACACAGGTTGCACATCGTATATTGCTCCACATATATTGCACCATCTATACATAAATATGCAGATTACACCACATCCATTGAACCACATATATTGCACCACCTCGACTGCATCACATTCCCCAATCAGAGCTTGCCTCTGTAGGGGTTCTAGCGGATTCATATGGTTATGTTAGGTTTGCCGCCGATTCTCGCCGCACGCCCAGGTGCCCGGGTGCCCGGAGGTGCCAGGGCGCCCGGGTGCTCGGGGGTGCCCGGGGGCCAGGGTGCCTGGGTGCCCGGGCGTGCCCAGGGGTGCCCGGGGGTGCCCTATAGCCCAAAAGCCCTATAGCCCAATAGCCCTGTAGCCCTATAGCCCTACAGCTCTATAGCTCTATAGCCCTATAGCCCTATAGCTCAATAGCCATATAGCCCTATAGCCGTATAGCCCTATAGCTCTATAGCCATATACCCCTATACCCTATAGCCCTATAGCCCTGTAGCTCTATTACCCTATAGCCCTATAGCCCTATAGCCCATATAGCCCTATAGCCCTGCAGCCCTAAAAAGATTATGATAGGGTTTTTCTCCAGTATCATACATGCATTGTGCAACACACTTTGCTCCTCATAGATTGCATCACCTAGGTTGCACAACATATATGGCACCATACTGATTGAAACACGCACACACGCATATTTACATATATATATATATGTATATATATATATATATATATGTTGCAGAACATATATGGCATAACCTAGAATGCTCGACATCGATTGCATAGCATAGATCACACCACCTACATTCCACCATAAATTTCACACCATGAATGGCACTTTCTAAACTACACCAAGCACATTACTCCATATGGCCTGCATTTCGTAGTTTGCGCCACATAGATTGCACCACATACAATACACAACACATTTTGCACATCGTATATTGCACAGCACATAATGCACCACGTTGCACCACATAGTCAGCATCGCATGCACTGCTACGCACGCACGCGCACTGGTTGGGACCCACGCTTGCCAATATAAAAATAATCGTCAGCGTAGTCGCTATCATAATTATCATGAACACGATCACCACCCTTCATCAAAACATGCATCGCCACACCCATCAACAACACTCTCATCATCAACATCACCATCATCACCATCATCATCACCACCATCGTGGCCATCGTCATCACCATCATCACCATCATCGTCACCATCAACCTCATTGTCTCCACCACCACCACCATCATCAGCGTCATCCTCATTCATAATCATAATCATCATCAATATCATCATCATCTTCGTCATTATCATCACCATCCGCATCTTCACCACCACCGTCATCAGCATCATCAACTTCATAAGCAGCAGCATGATCATTCCTCTCCTCCTCCCTCCTCCTGCTCTTCCCTCATCCTCCCCCCTCCTCCTCATCCTCCTCGTCGGCGAGCTGCTCCTCGTGCAGCTGCAGGGCAGCGCCGAGGTGCCTCAGCGAACCGCGGAGCCACCGGTCGATCGGCGACCAGGCTACAGGAGAGGCAAGGAAGAGGAGGGAAGGGGGGCAGCTCGCAGACTGAAAGGAGCTCGCTGCGCGAAGCGCAAGCGGCCGCGTGAAGGTGGGCCAGGCCCGCTCGGCCCAGGCCCAGCGCTCGCTCGGTGCCAACCCCAAAAGGCAAAGGGCTCACCCGAACAAGGACCACGGCGGGGACGGCCACGAGCGCGGAGACGAGCTCAAAGAGTAAAGGGAAGCTCTGGGAAAAGACGGCTAACGAGTGTCTATGGGACGCAGGAAAAACATGCTAACCCTGTGCGCCCCCTTTGGAGGCGCACGTCAGAACCGAGCATGTAGTACAAGCATGCTTGTGGCACCTCGCTGCCCAGGCGGTACGGGCAGAACACGCCCGCTGCCGAACAGCTACGACATGAGTTCGGAGCGCGCGTGCGCGCGTCGCTGCTGGGGGGGTGGTGGCGACGCGCACATAGAAAGATTATGTTTGGGCGATGCCAGCACTCCATGCGCAGCCAGTGGACTTCGGGACCGGAAGCCTGGAGCCGTCCAGGGCCCGACATCGACGCGTGGCGGTGAGCGGGGCAGGCTGCCTCTGCGTCGGGAGACGACGTGTGTGCAGACGACGCATGGTGTGAAGCGCCCCCTGCTGACTGCACGAGGGGGGGGGGGGCAGGGGGCACGGGTCGAGCAAAAAGGAGGATCTCCTGGGAGAGGGGGAGGAGGAGGAGGAGGAGGAGGAGGAGGAGGGGGGAGGAGGAGGAGGAGGAGGAGGAGGAGGAGGAGGAGGAGGAGGAGGAGGAGGAGGAGGAGGAGGAGGATAACGGAGAGAAGGCGGACGACAGGGTAAGATGGAGAAGTAGGGGGAGGATGGTAGAAAGGAGGAGGAGGGGGAGGCGGCGGAGGGGGAGCAGAGGGAGCAGGGGGAGGAGAAGGGGGGACGGAGGACGCGGAGGGGGAGTGGGAGGAGGAGGAGGAGGACGAGGAATGGGCGATTGGCATTTTAGCCATGCCCCTGCTCATGTTCCGATCCCACGAGGGGCCAGAGCGGCGGCATAGACACAAATCCCACCTCAGGAGCCACGTTCTTCATCTATGCCCCGCTGCCCGTGGCGCCCGCAGGGGGGCAGCAGCAGCAGGGGTATGGATCGAACGTCGACCGCCGAAGGAAGGAGCGGGAACAGAAGGAGGGTGACAAGGACGACGAGGAGGTGAGTCTGCGGAAAAGGTCACTGCCAGATCTCCGCTAGAGGCCTCTGGAGGCCACTGAAGGTTCCCAGAGGGATCCTGGGGACTCCATAAGAGCTACACAACCTGCGTGTCATGGACGTTGCCGGAGGGCTTCGGAGAGCCCTCGAGGCCACAGAGGGGGATGGATCACGAGCGGCGAACTAATACCCATATCCAAGCCCGCGCAGTCTGGATTCTGGAGCGCGGTCCCGTGGATACGCGGCCGCCTGGATACGTTCCGCGGGTGGCAGCCGCCGCAACAAAAAACGCCCCGTATCCACGTCCCATGGGCCCGGCCCGCGAGGCCGCGGATCTGAAATCGCCTCCCGCCCACGAAGGCAAGGCAACGGGAACGAGCTCAGCGCAGCCTCTGCGCCGCGCACCAGCAGAACCGCCACCCCCGGCCCGAGGCGAGGCCGATCGCCTCGGCCGGCCCCGTGTGTGGCCACGGTGCTCTGCCTCACTCTCTCGCGAGCGCCCGCGGGTGTGGCGGACCCCCGTTCGCGCGAGAGGCCCGTACTCGAAGGCGGGCCTGCCTGGGCAGGGCGGCGCTCGGAGGTGACCCTCTGGCGGCGCCGCGGGCGCCGCTCCCCGGCGCGCGGTGCGCGCCAGGGCGGGGGGGAAGAGGCGCCAACCCGAGAAATCTCTGGGGACCTCCGGGAGTTTTTTTGGCGGCGCGCACAAGGGGGTAACCGCTGAAGGTCTTCAGTTTTGGTTCCCCCCCTTGTCTCACAGCGGTGCACAGGACTGGTCCTAAAGCCTCCTCCTCCTCCTCCTCCCTCCCTCCCTCCCTCCCTCCCTCCTCCTCCTCCTCCTCCTCCTCCAACTCCTGTTGCGCGGCGGGTGCCGCGGAACAATGCCTTTAGCTACCCCCTATTGGTGGGACCCCAGTCCTTCAATAAGGCCGCCGAACAAATAATTAGTTAGTCCCTAGTGGGGGTGGCTAAAGACCTCTTCTCAGGGTTAGGGGGAGGGGGGAAGCGTTCTCAGAAGGTGGCCGCTTCTCAGAGGGCGCTGGCCTCACATCTGCAGACGAGGCCCGCGCCTTCTAAGAAGCGGGGTGCCTCTCAGAAGCATTCCCCCTCCCCCTACTACCCCCCTCTGCGCGTGGCTGGTTTCTTGGAAGCCTCCCAGGTGGGGTCCGAGTAGATGGGGTCGGAGGATCGCGCCGCATCGCCGATGCATCGGCAACACATCGACGATGCATCGCAGATGCATCGGCGACGCCGGTGGTGCATCGGCGACGTCGGCGTGTAGAGAATCGAGCTCCGCATCGAGCCGCATCGCCAGCGCATCGGCGACGCGGCGCGACCCTCACGACCCCGTCTCTTCGGACCCCGTCTGGGAGGCTCAGAGTTCTGCCTCGTGCTCCTCCTCCTCCTCGTCCTCGTCCTCTTCCTCCTTCCTCCTTCCTCCTTCCTCCTCCTCCTCCTCCTCCTCCTCCTCCCTCCTCCTCCTCCTCCCTCCTCCTCTTCCTCCTCCTCCTCCTCCTCCTCCTCCTCCTCCTCCTCGTCCTTCGGCGGCAGGCGGGGCGGCGGGGCCGAGGGTGACGGCGAGCAGCTCGCGGGGGCGGCGAGGGCGAGGGCGGCGAGAGGGCGAGCGGCTCGAGAGGGCGGGCGGGCGAGCGGCTGGGGCCCCGGCGAGAGCCCCGCGGCCGCCGCCAGGAGCGGCGCGCGGGGGCCCATGGCCGGCGGGCGGGGCGTGGAGCTGCCGGGTGCCGACGGGAGCGGCCCCGGGGAGGGAGAGCGCAGGGCTCGACCCAGACCGCGTGGTTCGTGTTCGTGCCCTTGCGTGTCCCCTCGACCTGTAGATCCCGCCACCCGGACGCCGCTTTGGCTCCTTGAGCGTTGCCTTGGAGCCGCCGACCAAACATTCCCCTCGATCTGTCTGCGTGCCGCCTTCGCTGCAACACGACGTCCAAACGAAAACGGCCCGCGAGATCGCCCAGACACCGTGTAGGTCGAGCCCTGGGAGAACGTTGCAATCGGACTTGAGTGGACAGGACACGCGAGAGGACACAAGGCCCTTCCGAGGGCCACACTGCCATCCCAAGGCGGCCCAGGAGACCTCCAGCACGGCCTTTGGAGGCCCACAGAGGGCACCAAGACGGCTCAGAGAGGGCACCAAGACAGGCCATCTTGGGCCGTGGTTCGATGTAGTATGGGACGCAGGAGGACATGCTACGGTAGGGGGACAGAAGTAGTGGACACTCCCCCGCTCCCCCAAACTCAAAGTTGGCACGCGCGGGGTAGACTGCGGTCGAAGTGCACCTCGTCGGACCCACCGCCAGCTTTGAACAGCAGGGGGCGGGGAAGGCGTTAACCGATGAATGTGGCATGCGTGCTCGCTCCTCTTGCTCCGAGACCTGCAGTACCGTGCGCCCACCCTGGGAGGCGTACGTCCGACCCGAACATGCAGCACACACATCTCGTGGCACGCCGTTGCCCCGCTGCTGCGCACCCCCCGCGTGACTTCCGAGCGCGCGCCGTCCCTGCGGTGCCGAACACACACACACACAAATTTTGCCAGAAGAAGCACCAGTGCCATGAGCATAAACTTTTGGCGCTCCGCGCGGGCTTCGTGGATCTGCGCTGGACCCCCCTTCCCTGGCGCGCGGAGCGCACAGGGGACGGCGCCGCAGGCGCCGCCGCCCAGCGCGGATCCAAGAAACCCGCGCGGGGCAAAAGCTGATTTTCATGGCGTCTGTTCTTGTTGGGCTTGCTGGGGCCGAACAACAATTTTGGTACCGAGCAGACATGTTTTGTTGGGTGTTACTGGGTGGTGCCGATCCTGCGCGCGCGCGGTGGCAAATCCTCGACGCGGGCGGCGCTCGGAGCCGCGAGAGGGCGGGGAGCACGGGAGAGCCTCGAGGCCCGCTGGGCCCCACGATTTTTGCGCTGCAGGGCTTGGGCGTTGGGGGGGTGGGGGGCGATCGCTGGTGGGGGGGGCAATCACTGATGGGGGGCGATCACTGGTGGGGGGGGGAGGGAGGTGCACTTCTCGGGCTCTAGGGGGCTCCCTCTCGGGCCCTCAAGGGCCCCTCTATGGGGCTCCTATTTGGCAGCCCTCGCTGCCCCCCATATCTATCGCCCCCCCCATTACAATCGGACCCGGGCCAGAAGAGCATCGCTCAAGAACATGCGACACTCCGCCAGCCAACCATACACAGAAACATCCAAGGGTACCCTCCCAAGGATACACAAGAACATCCAACAGGCACGAAAAACATTAGGGTACCCTCCCCGAACCGATCTCGATCTTGTACCTCAATCCGACTGTACGCGACGCCCAGGAGGGTTGGCCCGGCCAGGGCCCAGACCCCGTCCTGGCACACCTCTGGCACGTGTGCGAACGGACCTTCCTTCTCGACGTCGGCGCCGCTCGCAGGGGCAGGGAAGGGGAACACGAGGAGGAGGAGGAGAAGGAGGAGCAGGACGAGGAGGAGGAGGAGGAGGAGGAGGAGGAGCGAGAAGAAGGAGGAGGAGGAGGAGGAGGA